ATTTGTGCCCACACCAAAGTTTGTATTTGATAAGAAACTATCAAACTAAGTTTTGTTTCTAGTTTGATATTTATCTTTTTTTCTGGTTTTATTAGTAAGTCCTCTTGTTTTCACCCTTTTATGACCTCACAACATATCATTAGAACAACTGCTACTGTAGTACAACTTTGAAAAATATCTATAGGCAAAGTTTAAATGTCACTGGATAGAGTAAGTTATATACCAGTTACGTCAAAGTAAAGTGAATAAAGTGATGTGAAATATAGTTAATAATTTTGAGTGAAAGTGACAAAGCCTAGCTCCTGCAAAAACAACGGAACGTAGAGGGAAGTATGGAAGACTTACATACAAACCATGGATCTGAAAATGTTTTTGCTCTTTCTTTAAATGTTATTTTCTTGTTAAGCTATATTTGTTTGTATGTTATGGAAATTTTCTTCTATGACAATAAATTAGGTAAGCAATATTAGGTTTAGAGAGTATGTTAAGCTATAGAAACATTATTTCGATGACTCAAATAAAATTCAAGTCCTTGTTTCTGAATACAAACTGAGGTATCGTCCTTTGTCCGAGTTATGAACCTAAAAAAATGACGGGGTGGATTTTGTGATAAATAACACAAAAATGTTAACTTTCACACAATTTATTTTTAATACTATTAATATTATTACAGTATTCATGATTACCTCACCAAAAGTTTTATATGAGTTTTAATAACTCAATATGTATATATACTTAAAACATGGTATACACTGCGGGGTGGTCAGGGTGAATTTGTATTAATAGGTAGCGGCCAAAGTAATGGCGGTAGGTGCTTTCTGTTACCCGCTTTCAACACCCAGGTCTTAATGTTTTTCCACATTGTTTCATGCTTGTATTATGAGCTGAAATTTAAACGTCACGGGTCAAAGTAGGAAGTGGGTATAACTCAAGAAAAGATCCTTCATATCAGCCTTGTGGTGGCAGTTAGAATAGAAACTTCAGCTGAATTTATGTAGTATGCCAACAGTGGTGGCCATTTTTATCATTGGACTTTCCCCTAGAGCACTCTTTGAAATATATAAGACGTTTATGTGCCCTCTTCCACACTGTATGTATGTTGTGTTATAGATCATTTAGTAAAGTTTTTCGGTGTTAGGACGTGGCACCATCTATGAATGTAAGTAACGTTAACTTACGTCAAATATAATAAATGCTCAATAATAGTAATAATGGGGGATAGAGGAGGTTGTTACTCTCTCTCGTTAACGTACCTCTTGCTCCAACATATAATCCCACAAAGTTTGGTTGAGATTAGCCTAGCTATCTAGGAGTAGTCACATTACAGACAAACAGACAGACACAGTAATTTTTGTACTTTATATATATATATATACAGATTATTGTTATGTTTATCATATTGAAACAAGGCACATAAATAAAATAACTTGAATATTTATATTTTTTTATAAAGTATATTTATAGGTTAGAAATTGATTTTGACCATGAATAGTTTTAGAAAATATGTTATTATATAGTCTGGTCTGACGCCTTTTTTGAAAAATCATGTCCTAGGTCATCGCTAAATCTTTATGTGTTTCTATATTTATCTTTTCACGTTTTATAACCAGAGGAGGAGAATATTACCTTTAGCAAAATAATGTATCAAAATATATATGTCAATAAATATCAATCAAGTGGAAACTGATTAGATGTATAACATAGAACTTTCTTATTAAAATTAAAAGATTCTGACATGAATGGAAGTATTTTAATGTTTCTTTTTTTCCAAACAATGTCCTACAAAAACTTTTGGGAAATTCACAACGTAAAAATCACAGAAAAACTGAATCAAATTACATTAATCTTCAAAGCAGAAAGTAGATGCTATTTAGTGAGATTG